AAGAGAAGCATATCTATCGTATTTTCGAAATATTTGTCGTTAATGGTTGATTCGAAGGTAAAGCCACGTGAAACGTTACTAATCGCGCATGTGCATTCACGTGAAACATTTTCGTTTGACCTTGAAATGGAGGAACAGTCGCAGAACGTCGAAGGACCATCAATGAACTCTTCTTCTTCTTCTGCAGACGGTAAGTAGGTGACTTCAACATTTTTAATTTTCTTCCTTTGCTTCCTTTGTAACTAAAGGCTGTATAGCATAAACAATTTCGTTTCAAAGTTCTCAGGTCCTGAAACGAAAGAAGTTCTAAGCTTTATGAAAACTGGCATTTGTTGGGATTGTCAGTTTTGGGAGACTCGAGCTTTTTGCTTCTACATTACACCAATCATCTATGTCCAACGCGAATCTGTATAATCTGTACGGTGCTCATAATAATTGACGAGTTTCATTAATTACGAAAGTGTCGAATTGACACACAGTTACGCAATTAACACAGACGTTCTGTTGACACGAGTGTGTACGCGTTCGTCTGTCAGACGTGCGTCTCGCAAAAATGCAGCGTGAAACGGAGCGAGACTGCGCGAATGATAAAGTTCCATCTGCTCTGTTCGAGATAACCCGAGGACCCTCGGCTGCGCAGCAGCCAAGCTGAATTCACTCGTGTGCTCGCGTCCTCACCCTCTTTCACCTTAAATGAAGCTTCTTTTCTAGCTTCTGATTTTCAAATGGATATGCGGTTCAAATGGATCAGCGATGTAACTTCTTTTTCCTGTCTGAAGAAACCTTTCGAATCTGGCGTGTTTTAATTAATCTTTCCTATGACAAGCGTTACTTAGACTTGATGTTTTAAATATTACTGTCACTCGCTGCAATTGAATTTGGCGGGTTCATCGACCCTCTTGCGCGCCAGTTTTAAAAAGTAGAGGCCATTTTAATATCCCCGTCTGTGAGATTATCTCGCACTTGTCAATACGTCCTTGTTCGTAAAACGTTCTGTACAATAAAAAACGAAATAAAAATAGCCGCGCAGAAGGAGGAAATTCTCGCCTCAGTAATTGGTTTTATAAATTTGTTTTTGACGTAATCAATGCGCGTATACGTATTTATTATTCAAATTTCTATTCAGACGTTGATGTATTCATCCAAGTGAAATGTCTTCGTGGCGCAGAGAAGTGGCTTTGAAGTGGATTTGCAACGCTCCTGCCGTTCTCCAATGGCGTAAAAGTATCGATTATGAAATGCATAGGTGATCTTTATTGACGGATATTGTGAATGAAAGGAATCGTCATCAGAGTTTGATACATTATAACAGCTTAACAATAGAACAGAAGTCGTCAAAATGAAGCGTTTGAAAATTTGTAGATTTCTAACGATTTAGAGAGATTTTCTCAACAAACACACCTAAATGACAGGGAATACGTTTGGACAGTTTCCAAACGTAAGTTAAACTAATCAGTCAACTTTTTTCACGTTGATCCACACATTCTTATAACTATAATTAAAAACACTGGAGATCTCGAGGAGATTCATTTCATTCTGTATCGTGGAAATTTCCATTCGAAAATCAAGTGAATCAGTAATTTCAGCTGATTCAAATATAGAAAAGATAATAAGAGGAAAGAATCAAATGATAATGCTGGCAGCATGAAAGATACGAATTATTAAAAATTAAAAAAAGGTTTAGGTTAAGTTAGGTCACTGTATTTGACAAGAAGATTTAGGTTTAGGTTAGGTTTAGGTTAGGTCATTGTATTTGACAAAAAGGTTTAGATTAGATTTAGGTAACTGTATTTGACAAAAAGATTTAGGTTAGGTTAGGTAACTGTATTTGACAAAAAGGTTTAGGTTAGGTTAGGTCACTGTATTTGACAAAAAGGTTTAAGTTAAGTTAGGTCACTGTATTTGACAGAAAGGTTTAGGTTAGGTCACTGTACTTGACAAAAAGGTTTAGGTTAGGTCATTATATTTGACAAAAAAGGTTTAGGTTAGGTTTAGGTTAGGTCACTGTATTTGATGAAAAGGTTCCGCCAATTATATATATTTTGACCAATAGATATAAGTAACACGTTAGCCAACAGTGACACACTGGCTAGTCGCTAGTTTGCTTCTAATCTTGCCCACGATATGCAAAATTCCATATTCAATCCTTTTGAACATCTGCACAATGATTTGGCGAACGTATGCCTTTTTCCCTAGTTCGCAGGTGAATATTAATATTTACGTGTTCGCTGTGCCAATTTGTCATCTCATTCTACCGCTTGGACGCCTCTTTTGTAGCTGCTTTTTTATTCTCTGCTTTTGCGCGAATATAGATTTAGAAATCCTTTTTTTCACGTACGTGAATAACACGCCGGGATTTCGTAATTCCTCTGCACCTAATTTCCTACCCAAGAATAAACCTACTTGCGCTCGAAGCTGGCAGTGTTCACATGTTTCTGAAAGGCTTCGCGAAAACCAATTGAAGCGAAACGTAAATATAAATTCCTCGGAGATGAAGTGGGAAAAAACGAGATGAAAGTCTTCTAAAAAAGCAACAGTCTCGACGAATTTCGTTTGCAATTGATCGGAGAGTAGAAATGTCAACTATTATTAATACATTCTAATTAATAGCGATGATAAAAATTAAACGATCCTGCACGTGTCTCATTTCATTTAAATTTTCTTCCTTTATGCGCTCAGGTTAGAATATTTATGTAAAGGATATTTATGTAAAGGATATTTACATAATCTTCTTCGTCTCCGTTAGCACGAATTTTTTTTCGTATCCGAATTATCACCGCTTAGGAATAGTGAGTCAACCTTGACTCACTTCTTCAGGTTTACTTTCCCTATCGATGTGGTAAATAAGTGGTTAAACAGCTGTTTGTTGATAAAAAAAAAAAAAAAAAAAAGGGAATACAGGAAAATGTGTGTAGAATGTTGATTCACCAGGGAATCTTCGATATGTACAATTGGTACACTCACTATTTTGAAGAACAATGGCCTCGTGATTATTTTTAGGGAAGTTTTTCTAGCTTTATTGCTAGCTAGTTAGTATTTCTTTTTTAGATCGATCGATCTGTCTATTGGAGTGAATAATAAGTAAAAAAAAAAATTACGTTCAATTCTAAAGATATACAAATAGGCGTAAACGAACATAATGATCAAAACTTCCTGGTTGTTATTCGATGATTAGCAACGATAACGCTCAACAAATGAAATTTATTGCTTCGTAAGCCTAATAATCTAGATACGTTTCGACTAATTGTGCCGATAGCTTCCTTTTTTCCTTCTCTCGATTATTTTATCGATTATTTTATTCCCTTTATCGCTGGCTTAGAGGGATCAGCGAAAGGGAAAATAACGATGGAAGCAGAGTTACAAATGTAAGTTTCTCTAATTCTTCCATTTTAAAGTACTCGAGTGGCCCGAGTTTAGACAGAGTTTGCTATTCAGAGGCTGTTGAAAATAATTTTTTTTTTTATTGCCTCGGCTGTTGAAAATAATTTCGTTGTTTATTATTTCAAGGTGCAAGCCAATTAACTGCGTGAGACATCTTGGCGAACGTACGCCATGTATAATCAATATGGCGGGGTTATCGGGGGGTGACCGCTTCGTTGTAAGCAACCTTCAGTTCGCCATGCGCTCGAAACGTGTCGCGTGATTTGTCAATTCCTCGTCTTTTCCAACAATTTCCTCTCCGCGGCTCTGCTCTGTCTTCCTATCTTGCCTGTTGCAGCGGATCAAGACTGGATTTGAAATGAAATGAAATGAAATGTCGATGGGGAGGTCGAATTACTCGAAAGAAGAAAGCAGCAGTCTCTACGACTTTGGATTCGAAAATATCTCGGGGAAATCTTCTTTCTTTACGATACGAGCTTTTTTAACAAATTAATTTTGTCCTTTCTTTCTTGTTTTTTAGTGTTCCTGGCCACCTCGCTGTGGAAATAATTAAAACGTTCCATTTGTTAGAGATAATCATTGTCACACACACACACACACACACACATATATATACACATTGTGTAATAATTTTTCTTTCTCAGAGCGATTGTATTTATTTTTTTGTAAATTCGCGCAAACAATTAATTGCAAATATTATTGCGGCCGATTGATTTTGAAATCTTCATCACGTGCAACGATATTGAATCTTGATTTTATCCCAAGAGAGTTATCGACAAATCCATTTATCTCGTTCAAAACAGGGAGTAATAATTTTTATTATAATTGTCAATTTCAGTATAGTAATGGAAAAATTTTGAATTCGATGCTGATGAAAATTTTGAATTTCTCGCAGGTAACCTAAACCTAACCTTAACCTAAACCTTAACCTAACCTAAACCGAACTCTTGTTTCCAATTTGTTTTTTGTTTTTCCTTTTTCCATTTGAAATCACTTCTTCTTTTATCGATCGTACTATGATTATTAGGACATGCACTTCTGTGCATAGATTTTATAATGTCATCTATATAAAAGTTAAACAGATTTTATAACGTTATATAATAAAATTTTATGTTTATATAATGCGTTGAATGGAAATGTGATGAAAATATCTAATCGTTTATGTAACTTGACCTTTGTAAAACACGTTGACTTAATGCCTTATTTTTAAACATTGTTTAAAGTAGGGATTAATGTAGGGTGCATACTGTAGGTAATAACTTATTATCATCGAATTAAATCCCGTCACTGTAACAACATTAATATGTGTACGATGATAAAGCACTTTAATTTTGTTGTTATCACTTCTCGACTGATATCTTCTTTTCTTTTATCAAACACATTGAAGTTAAAACTTAACTTAATCCATTAGATATTTAGTTGTTTTAATCTTTTCAAATTACAAACTTGTTTCTGCCAGGAGATTTTACTTCTCTAAGATTCGATATTTAGATTTCCCGATTCAATCTCGAATTAGATCTCCTCCTTGATCGATCTGTTTATCGTTTCCTCAATAAGCATCCTTGATATGAGTTTCACATTTTACCTGAATTAATTGTTTATTACATTCACAGTTCAGCGATTATCTTATCGTCATTTGCACAGGTAACGGGATAACAATCGCTGAAATGATCATTCAAATAAGATACTGTATCATTGTTCTGCCTATCGTTAGAACGGGCATGAATTTATTCATTGTTTCTAAAAAAAAAA